CTCAATGTATCCAGCACTGATCAATATATCCAGCAATGTGCCCATTATACCCAGCACTATGCTCATTATATTTAGCCCTATGCCCATTATATCCAGCACTGTGCCCAGTATATCTAGAACTATGCAAAATATATTCAGCATTATGTCCAATATATCCAGCAATGTGCCTATTATATTTAGCAATGTGACCATTATACCCAGTACTGTGCCCAATATATACCGGCAATATGCCCATTATGTCTAGCACTATGCTCAAAATATCCAGCAATGTGACCATTATACCCATCACTATATATGCAATAAAGATATCCATCAATGTGACCATTATACCCAGCACTATGCTTATTATATTTAACACTATCCCCATTATATTCAGCACTGTGTCCAATATATCCAGCACTGATCAATATATCCAGCAATGTGACCATTATACCCTGCACTATGCTCATTATATTTAGCACTATCCCCATTATATCCAGCACTGTGCCCAATGTATTCAGCACTGATCAATATATCCAGTAATGTGCCCATTATACCCAGCACTACGCTCATTATATTCAGCACTATGTCCAATATATCCAGCACTGATCAATATATCCAGCAATTTGCACATTATACCCAGCACTATATATGCTAAAAATATCCAGCAATGTGACCATTATACCTAGCCCTATGCTCATTATATTTAGCACAATGCCCATTATATCCAGCACTGTGCCCAGTATATCCAGAATTATGCCCAATATATCCAGCACTGTGCCCATTATACCAAGTACTGTGCTCATCATATCCAGCACTTTGCCCATTATATCAAGTACTGTGCCTATTATATTAAGTACTGTGCCCATCATATCCAGCACTATACCCAGTATATCCAGCATTGAGATCATTATATTTAGCACTATGCCCAATATATCCAGCATTGAGACCATTATATTCAGCACTATGCCCAATATATCCAGCATTGTGACAATCATGCTAAGTACTGTGATCATTATATCCAGCACTGTGCTCATTATATCCAACAATGTGACCATTATACCCAGTACTGTGCCCAATATATCCAACAATTGCACCACTATACCGCGTATTGTGCTGTGCCAATTATACTTAGCACTGTGCTCATTATTTTCATCACTGTGCCCATCAAATCCAGCACCATGCCCATTATATCCAGCAATGTGCCCATTATAAACAGCACTATGTCCAATATATCCAGCACCGTGTCCAATATATCCAGCACTGATCATTATATCCAGCAATGTGCCCATTATACCCAGCACTATATATGCTAAAAATATCCAGCAATGTGACCATTATACCCAGCACTATGCTCATTATATTTAGCACTATGCCCAATATATTCAGCATTGAGCCCTTTATATCAAGTACTGTGCTCATCATATCCAGCACTTTGCCCATTATATCAAGTACTGTACCTATTATATTAAGTACTGTGCCCATCATATCCTGCACTATACCCAATATATCCAGCATTGAGATCATTATATTTAGCACTATGCCCAATATATCCAGCATTGAGACCATTATAATCAGCACTATGCCCAATATATCCAGCATTGTGACAAGCATACTAAGTACTGTGATCATTATATCCAGCACTGTGCTCATTATATCCAACAATGTGACCATTATACCCAGTACTGTGCCCATTATATTTAGCACTGTGCTCATTATATATTCATCACTGTGCCCAATATATCCAGAACTATGTCCAATATATCCAGCACTGTGTCCAGTATATCCAACAATTCCACCATTATACCCCGTACTGTGCCAATTATACTTAGCACTGTGCTCATTATTTTCATCACTGTGCCCAACAAATCCAGCACCATGCCCATTATATCCAGCAATGTGACCATTATACCCAGTACTGTGCCCAATATATTTAGCACTGTATCCATTATACCATGTACTGTGCCCATTATTTATATCAAGCACTGTGTCCATTATACCCAATACTATGCCCATCATATCCAACAATGTGCTCATTAT